TGCTGATGCGGGTGCAGAAGACGCAGGGGGCGGCGCCGCAAAGATAGGCGGCGGTGGTGGGACTTGGCCTTGCTGAGCCCGCCCAGACGACGGCTTGGACTCCTCATCGTCGCTGTCGTCGCCCGGCCCGCCCGTGTGCTGGGCGAACGTGTCGACCTCGAAGCCCTCGGCGTCTGGGTCGTCTTCCGTCGCCAGCTCGTCGGACATCTGCCGGACACGAGAGAGACGAGATGCAGAGGGCCACATGGAACGGGCACGTCAGCACGAGGCAAAACAGTCACGGCTGAGAGCGGTCCAAGATACTCACGGCAAGGCGCATGTTGTTGCCGGTCGGTCGCCAGACCCAGGCGATGGCGGCAAACACTGCGAGAGGTGGCGATGCGGGTCAGCCAGCGGTACACGACGCGATACTTTGTTTCCAGCACCTCGGCCTCAGGACCTCGCCACTCACCTGCCAGGTAGAGGCATGCGAGCCAGCCGTCGAGGAGGAACCAGCGGTACGGCCACGTGCTGGGCGCGAAGCCGTCGCCGCCCGACTGCGAAAAGGCGATCGACGAGACGACGAAAAACGCAAACTGAGGTCGACGAGGAGCAGCGGGAATCGGTCAGCACGGGGCACTTCGATGCTGCGCTCGACTTTTGTTGGCATAATGGGCGAGCCGGCAGACTCACAATGAGCACGATCGCGCCCATCAGGATGCGGTGCAGCTTGACAAACATGGCCTTCTTGAACGTCTGCTTGCGCTGGGTGAGGTACTCGATCGACTGATTGAGCGAGTTCATCGTCCACATCATCAGCGCCGTCAGCGTCATGGCGAGCGGGAAGATGAAGAGGAAGATCCAGGCGCCGCCCTTGTCGATCTGGAGGAGCACAATGCCGATCGAGTACAGCACGCCAAACACAAAGTGGGCGCCCGTGAGGAGGCGAACCTTGGTCATGACGGGGCCGATCGACGGGCGGACGACGCCGTAGCCCATCCTGACCGATGGTTCGCCGAGGGAACGGTGCAGTCGCGAGCGAGGAAAGACGTCAGTACGTCGGATGGACCGGCACAAAGCCCTCCGCGTGCAATTGCTGAACCCAAGAGCGCCGTCACTCACGAGACGATGAGCAACAGGAAGAAGCTGACCGAGTTCTGGGCCGCGTCGAGGATGCTGGTGAGGACAAGGAGGAAGCGTGCACCTGCCGTCACCGACGAGCTGCCCTCGACCGACTTGATCCTGAACAGATCAATGAGGTGCGAGTTGAGGTACGAGTAGTAGGCCAGCTGGGCCAGCATTTCGACGATCAAGAAGACGATGGTGCCAGAGATGAAATGCTGTACCGTCAGCATCCTGCCAGGCGGGAGCAGGGTGGAAGTTCGGGGAGACGAGCGTCAGTGTGTTCTGCCTCGATCAGCGACACGACGGGTTTGGCTAGCGGGCGCGTACGCACTCATCTCTGTGCCGGATGCACAGGTAGAGCCAGCCCAGGCCCAGCACGGCGTAGACGGCCGACAGGTAAAAGTAGAACTGTGGGCGACGTCGACGAGGGTGGGATGAGGTGAGTGGGCGAGCAGGCAAGGGGACATGACGCCGACGCGGGCATCTCGCACTCACTGTGAGCTTCGGATGCTCGGCGGCGGGCAGGTTGCCCTTGAAGCTGTTGTAGAACGTCAGCCTGCCAGTGAACGCGCCGTGCACCGTGGCCTGTGAGGAAGAGCTTGCCGGCAGCGAGGTCAAGGGCACCGCGGCTGTCACGACGGCGGTCCAGGCGATAGGGGAGATGGACGAGGAGCTGTCAGCCGGATTACTTTGGCCGCCATCAGCATCCACCAAGACCGCGCGGCAGGCAGCTCACTCGCACCGAAACAGTAGTAGCCGTCCCGGTCCACTGCGTAGGTCTGCGCGTGGTCGGGCGTGACGCACGTGGCGACGTACGGGAGAAGAAGGGTCGGGGGACGTCAGCAGCTGAGCACGACACGGCAAGCGCAGAGGTCCGTGGACAACGCACCAGGTTTGTTGGCTCCGTGGCGCCGGGCGCGAAGTCGACGCGCTTCTTCTGGACCGTGGCGGCACCGTCAGCGGTGATGAAATTGCCGACATCCTCGGGCTGGCATAGCTTCTGCCGGACGGCTTGGGCGGTGCAAATGTAGGTCTTGATCTGCCGGGAGTCGGTTGCAAGGGGGCAGCGGGCGTAAGAGCCTGCGCTGAAGGGCGGGGAAAGGGGGGCTGGGGCGAGCTCACCTGGAACCCAAATACGTCGCGCTCGTCTGACGGGATGCCGAGCTTGTCAAAGTCCTCGAATTCGTAGAAGATGGTGGCGGCTGTCCCCGTGGATCCCTTGTCAAAGATGGCTGGATAGCGACAAGGGAAGGGGCGCGACGAGAAGGGCAGATACGATTAGTGAATCGTCAGTTGAGAGTCGGAGAAGGTGAGGTGGACGGCGATGTGGTCGGCGGTGCTCACCTTCGATGCGGCTGCCCTTGCCGGCGTACATGCCGCTGCATGTCTGCCTGAGCTCGTCCTTGTCCGATACGGCTACCGTGTAGGCATTTGCGAGGTTGTACGGCGAATGCAGCCCGGGCAGAGGCGGGAGGAGGGCGAGGAAGGCGAGGAGGCAGAGAGCTCGAGCGAGCATGACCGAGGGGGCGCGCAAGCTCGTTGCGGGGGCCATGCGATGAAGGAGAGGGATAGGAGCGCGGAGGTGAGATGATAGCGTGGGTGAATGCAGCAGAGTGCTCTCAGGCGATGAAACCTCGTAGTGTGTCGGTCAGGGATGGTGATGGTGATGGTGGTGGTGATGGCGGTGGGCGGGGGCAAAGGGCAGCCAGCTTAACGACGGAAGACGGGTCTGCCGCCTCTTTGCCGGTCAAAGCGAGGTGGAGCGTGCGTGCCAAGGCCACCGGCCAAGCGGCGACGCCAGGAAGAAGCAGCAGCGGCCGGCCTCTTTTTGGCCGCAGGCCCAGGCGCAGCTAGCTGCCAAGCAGACCCACATCCTGCAGCCCAAAAAAAGTTGGCCTCGTCTTTCGCACCACACCATCACCCGCCACCCAACACCCGGCCGCCACACCCCATCGCCAAAGCCATAACCACCATGGGCGCAAAGAAAAAGAAGCCCACCCTCAAGGCCAACCCAAACAGGGGGTTCGCCACCTCTTCGCTCCCAAAAAAGCCCGACGAATCCAAGCCCCCTGCACCTGCCGCCAACACCGGCACTGGCACCGGTAGCAGCGTCCCCACCGCATCATCAGCAGCAGCGGGCGGCATTCAGCCAGACGCAAACGCCAGGCAAGCCGCCGCAAGCGCTTACGCAGACGTCAACAACGACAGGCTCACCTCCGCAGGCTCCGCATCGGCCGCAGGGACAGCGTCGGCAGACCACTTCGACCCGGCAAAGGAGGAAGAGCAGGCCCTCCAGAACCTCGTCGACCGCCTCCAGGACAAGGTCGAAAAGGAGGTCTCCCGCCAGTTCAAGGCGATCGAATACGACAGAAGGCTGTCCAAGACGCTACCCAACTTCGACCTCGATCCCAACCTGCGCGATCAGATCCTCGGGCTAGCCGCCTCGCTCCAGGCAGCTAGGACCTCGGCCTCTGCCCCGGCCAGCGATGCCGTTCCGCAGCCGACATCGCTCGACACCGACGCGGCCGATGGATCAGATACGGCCTCGCGGCTCGCTTCGACGATTTCTTCGCCGTCGCTGGCGGCCAGCGGCTTCACCCCCGATGGCACACAGACACCGACCACGTCGACCTCTGGCTCCATGACGCCCCTCAAGCTCGGCGCCGGCACCACCTCGATCGCAATGGCAAGCCTCTCGAGGGACCTCCAGTCGATGGCACTCCAGAACACCGCCGCCTCCTCCTCGTCCTCAGGGGCCTCGTCTGCCTTTGCCGACTCCGAGGACAAGGTCATGGTCCGCGCCCTCACAACGTACCAGCTGCTCATCAAGCTCGGCTTCACGCCGGCAAACGCCGAGACGGCCCTTGCCTACGCCAGCTCGCCCGACCTCGAAGAGTGCCTCGCCTACCTCTTCCTCACACTCGACGAGGCGGCGCTCGAGGACTGCCTCCGCGTGGGCGAGGGCCAGGGGGTCAAGAAGAGGAGGGACCAGCAGCGATCGACGCGCGACAGTGGCAGGGGCGACGACGACGAGGACGACGATACCTACGACGACAGCCGCCCACCAGCGTATGCCGGCTACGAGTTTGAGAGACGGGAGCTGCTGGGCCGCAGCCAGGCCTCGGCGACCGACAGCCTTGCTTCGACGAGCAAGGTACCCGGTGCTGCGGGAGCCGTGACCGATGCCAAGACGGCCATGGCCCAAGAGATGGCCTCGCGCAAAGCGGGGTCGGCAGACGTCAGGGCCAGCAGCGGCACGGCTCCCGCCGTCTCCAAGGAGGTCGTCGATGCGCTCAAGAAGAGCTCGGAGCAGCTCGCGCTCGAGCTCAACGCTCTTTTGGATTCGGAACAGATCGACACGCTCCAACAGCCCTCCCCGACGTGGTCGCTGCTGCGCGTCACCCAGATCCGCGTCGACCAGGAGCGCGCCAAGTGGAAAAAGGAGTTGGGCAAGGCGTCGCTCGACCGCATGAACGCTGAGGAAGGGCGCTTCGAGCGGGTCGTCGGTCGCTCAAAGGATCTGATGCGCGAGTGCGAGCGCATGCACGGCTTCAACCGAAAGCAGGCCGATGAGGGCTTCAAGGCGATGCTGCGCCGGCGCGAGGAGGCGGAACGGGACGCAAAAGCCAAGCTGGAAGAGGAGGCGCAGCTTCGCGAAGAGAGGCGCAAAGAGGTCGAGCGGGCAGCCAGCGGTGGTGACGTCGACCGCAGCGACGAGGAACATGGCGCGGGTGCCAAAGGAGGCGGTTCCAGCGATGCGGCGGGGCCATATCAGGCCGCGAAAGCCGATGGCGCAAAGGAGGCCGCCGGCGAAGATGACGATGAAGACCAGGACAAGGACGACCGGGCCTCGGACTCGGGCTCTGAAGGCGGCCTCTTTGGCGACATGCTCGACGAGCAGCCGACCGAGGCGACGGACGCGGCGACCGGAGTCGTCGTGTCTCTGCGCGAGCTTCCGGTCCAGGCCAAGAGCGGCAGCGGCGGCAAGACGCCGCGCGTGCTGCTCTCGGACGCCCTCAAGCGCGCCGACGCCTACGCCTTCCACAAGTTCGAAAAGATCGCATCGGGAGGTCGGTTGCATCGCAGCAAGCTGACGATTCGCTGGAACGGCGGCAAGGTGGTGCCCAACAAGAACGCCGTCAGCGCAGGCGCGCCCACGTACCTCGACGAGTACCGGCTGACGACGGTCGGGTGCGCGTCGCAGCAGCAGGCCGACGACCTGATCGCCACCGTCGCCCTGTTCTGCATCGAGCACGACAAGCCCATCCAGCGGTCCCTGCCGGCGGGCTACCGCGAGTGGTGGGACGAGCTCGAGGCGTTGCGCAAGGACGAGCGCGACGGCAAGCACCGCACGCGCTTCCAGCGCGTCCGCGACGTCGTCAAAGCGCGGATGGACGAGGCGAACCGCAACAAGAAGGCCAAGGCCAAGCCCGCGGCGTCCTCCAGCATCGCCAACGACCAGGCGCAGTCTGATCTCGGCGAGCTGGCGCGCGGCGGCGTGCCGCAGCCCTCCGAGGAGAAGGCCAAGGGCATCTCGGACTACTTTGCGCAGCGCGTGGCCTCGAAGCCGTACCAGGCGATGCTGCCCGGCCGCCAGGGCCTGCCGATCGCCAAGTACCGTCAGGAAATCCTCGACATTGTCGAGAGCAGCCAGATCTTTGTCCTCAGCGGAGAGACGGGTTGCGGCAAGTCGACGCAGGTGCCGGCCTACATCCTCGAGGATTGCATGGCCAAGGGCCGCAACTGCAAGATCTACGTCACCGAGCCGCGGCGGATCTCGGCCATCTCGCTGGCGGAGCGCGTCTCCGAGGAGCTCGGAGAGCCGCGCGGCAGCGTCGGGACCGGAGATAGCCTCGTGGGCTATGCAATCCGTCTCGAGAGCCACGTTGGCCGCAATGCCCGCCTCGTCTACGCCACGACGGGCATCGTGCTGCGCATGCTCGAGGGCACCGCGTTCGACGACATCACCCACGTCATCATCGACGAGGTCCACGAGCGCTCGATCGAGTCCGACTTCCTCCTCATCATCCTCAAGACGCTCATCGAGCACCGCAAGGACCTCAAGGTGGTTCTGATGTCGGCCACCGTCGACGCCGAGCGCATCAGCGCCTACTGCGGTGGCTGCCCCACAATCGCGGTGCCCGGCCGCACCTTCCCCGTCGACGTCCACTACCTCGAGGACGCCGTGGAGCTGACCAACTACACGCTCGAGGACAACTCGGCCTACGCCAAGCGACAGCGGCGCGGCGGGCGCGGCGGGAGCGACTACACTCGCAAGGCCGATGCGCCCGGAGGCAACAAGTCACGGCTGCAGGTGGTCGAGGACGACGATGCCCCGCCCGACGATGATGACGACGACGACGACGACGGGCGAGGACCGGCCGCCGGCGCCCTGGCCAGCTCGAGCGAGGCCAAGAGCTATCGCGCCAAGACGATCGAGACGATCGAAAAGATGAACGAGTACACCATCAACCACGAGCTCATTGTCAGGATCCTCGAGCGGGTCTGCTTCGAGAAGGACCTGCGTGACTACAGCGCGGCCACGCTCATCTTCCTGCCGGGCCTGGCCGACATCCGCAAGTGCCACGACATGCTCAACGACCACCCGATCTTTGGCGGCTCGACGTTCCGACTGTACCCGCTCCACTCGACCATCAGCTCCGAGAACCAGGGCGCCGTGTTCAATGTGCCGCCCAAGGGCGTCCGCAAGATCGTCATCGCCACCAACATTGCCGAGACGGGCATCACGATCCCGGACATCACGTGCGTCATCGACAGCGGCAAGCACCGCGAGATGCGATTCGACGAGAAGCGCCAGATTTCGCGGCTGGTCGAGTGCTTTGTGGCCAAGAGCAACGCCAAGCAGCGGCGCGGACGTGCGGGCCGTGTGCAGCGCGGCATCTGCTTCCACCTCTTCACGCGGCTGCGCCACGACTCGTACTTTGACGACCACCCGCTGCCCGAGATGCTGCGCCTCTCGCTCCAGGACCTGGCGCTCAAGCTCAAGGTGATGAAGATCCGCATCGGCACCTCGATCGAAAACGCCCTCTCGCTCGCCCTCGACCCGCCGTCGTCGACCAACGTGCAGCGCGCCATCGCCGCGCTGATCGAGGTCAAGGCGCTGACGGCCAACGAGGACATCACGCCGCTCGGCCGCCACCTCTCGCGCCTCCCGCTCGACGTCCACATGGGCAAATTCCTCCTGACGGCCTCGCTGTTCAAGTGCCTGGACCCGGCGCTGACGATTGCCGCCGCGCTCAACGCCAAGTCGCCGTTTGTCACGCCGTTTGGCAAGGAGGCCGAGGCCGACCGCGCCAAGCAGTCGTTCAAGCTGGGCGACTCGGATTTCCTCACGATCGCCAACGCCTTCAACGGGTGGAGGCGCTCGGTGGCGCTCAACCACCACCAGGTGTTTTGCCAGAAGAGCTTCCTCAGCCCGCAGAACCTGGTGCAGATCGAGGAGCTGCGCCAGCAGTACCTGGGCTACCTGATCGACTCGGGTTTCGTCACCGTCGACGCCGACACGCAGCGCGAGCTGACCAAGCTGCGCTACCGCAGCGGCGGCGGCGGCGCCAACGTGCGCAAGCCGCGCTTTGTGACGCTGCCGGCCGAGCTCGACGCAAACTCGACGAGCATCGCCATGGTGCACGCCGCCATCGCCACAGGCCTGTACCCAAAGCTGCTGCACATCGACCCAAAGTCGTACCAGCTGCGCACGATTGGCAACAACCAGCCCGCCTCGGTGCACCCGTCGTCGGTCAACTTCCGCACAAAGATGAGCGAGCTGGTCCGCGGCAGCGCCAGCTACCTCCTCTATTTCACCATGATGCAGAGCAAGAAACTCTACGCCTGGGAGACGGGCGTGCTCGATGACAAGGCCGTCTTTACCCTGTGCGGCGACGCCGAGTTCAAGGTGGGTTCCCACCGCGTCGCGCCGCGCCGCTTCGAGCTGGCACGGCCGAAAGAGGGAATCCCTCGTCAGCGGCGGCAGCACGATACTGACGCGAGTCCATCCCTCCCTCTGCTTCGCACCTTTTTCTGTGCTGCACGCTCTTCTCCCGATGGACTTCAGCTCTCGGCGTACAGCATGTACATTGACCGGCAACGCATCCGAATGGCGATCCCGGATCCCAAGAGCCTGCTCGCCCTCAAGGTGCTGCGCGAACAACTGGCCAGGCTGCTCAATACGTCCTTCCGAAACCCGTACGTGCCTTGGCTTACCCCATATCCCTTTCCTTGTCCTGCCTTTCCTTGCTTTTCCTCGCTGTCCCTGCTCCTGTCACTAGCTCTCGTCGTGAAGGCACACTCACACCCTACTTCCCTCACTCTCTTCCTTTGAACCCGGGATGAAACGAACAGGGGCAAGACATGGACGGTCGAACAGACAAGATTCTTCCAGATCGCCTGTGACGCCCTCGGCGTCGGGGCCAATGAAAAGGACCTCGCGCTGCAGCTTTGACTTGTCGGCCCGGTCCCCCCAGTCGTCATGCTTTGCCCGCCGCTACCCTCGATCCTCCCGGAGGTCAAAGCCGGCATACCGGCTCGGCGTGGAGCACCAGCTTCCACCTCACCTCGGATCGGATCGGGGATCGGATCGATGGTGGAGCGCGGCTTCGGATCGACAGTACTTCCACTGTCCGCGGACGGTGCTCACTTGTAAGGCGGGGATGAGAAGGTCGCGACGCAGTACGACGCTCGAAAGTCGGGTCGAACCGAGTAGCAGTACACCCCCTGCCCACTTGAACGGCGATCGGTCAATGAGACCACATCCATTCCGCTCAGCACGCACGCTCCCTCGAACGCACGCACGCCATCAGTCGAAATGCACACTGAGCCGGTACGAGCCGGTCTATCCACCGTTCCGAGCAATGACTACGCTGACAGGACGACGACCACGACGAGCGCCGAGGGAAGAGGGAGAAAGACACCCACCGTCAAGGGTCGATTACACGGCAGCCCACTCGCGACGAGGCTGGTTCGACGGGCGCTGAATCGCCGCGGGCCCCGCATTGGCATCGGCAAACGGATCGGCAAACGGGTCCTCTGCCTCGTCGTCGTCGTTGTCGTCGTCGCCCTCGTTCCAGCTGAAACCGGGGCCGATGCGCGGCCGGTGGCCCTGGGTGGCCTGAAGCCACTCTTCCTCCTCGCTGTCGTTGAGATTCGTCCACGACGCCCCGTCCGGCCTCGTCGACCGGCCCACGGGCACGCGGTGGCCCTGGCCCTCGCCGTCGCTCTCCTCGGACTCATCGTAGTCGCTGTAGTCGGACAGCGCACCGCCGCGCGCCTGGAAGCCGGATCCCGCGCTCTCGGACGCCGTCATGCCCCCGCCCCCGCCTCGTGCCGAGCTGGTCGTCGTCTGGTCGTCGTCAAAGTTGAGGTCCATGAGATCGCCAACCGCGCCCTCGCCTGCGCCCGCACTCGCACTGCCGCCCATGTCGAAGCTGCGGATGCTGCCGACGCGCGTGTTGTGCCGCTCGATGCGGCCGCGCTGCCGGTCCTGAAGCTTCTCGAGCTCGCCCTCGGGCGCATTGAGGCGCGCGGCGGCGATGCGCTTGCGCACCAGCTCAATCTCGGCATCGTCGGCCTCGAGCCGCGCCGCCTGCTTCTGTTCGGCCGTCTCGCCGCCAGAGATGGCCGCCAGCGGCTCGTTGTCCTCGTCGCTGTCGAGCTCGACGGGTTTGGACAGCTGCGATAGGGGGAGGAGGTGGGGGAGAACGAGATCGGAGGGGACATGGCAGATCAGCAACGCGAGCCCGCCGGACAAGACCTCGAGCCCTCGTACCGCCGGACTCACCCGGTCGTACAGCTGCAGCGCGAGGATGATTTGATCATTGGCCGAGATGAGGCTGCCGATGAACTCCTCGTCCTTGACCAGCTGGATGTAGCGGATGATCTTCTTGCGCTCGACCTTGACGCGGGCGAGGTAGTCCTGGACGCGGGCGTTTTCGGTGACGCTCTCCTTTTCGCGGTTGACGTGCTGCAGGGCATTGACCAGGGCCGTGGCCGACGACTGCGACGTGGCGAGCGACGAGAGGATCTGCGGCTTCTCCTGCTCAAAATTGAAGGCGGGCCGTTTGGCGGCGCCCGAGGCGCCTCCCTTCTTCTTTCGCTTGGCCAGCTCCTTTTCCTCGAGCTTCTGGAGGCGCTCGGCGGCCTTGCGGTCGCTGCGGATCTGCTGCTCGCGGCGCGCCTCTTCCTCGCGCTTGCGGTAGGCTTCGGCGGCCTCGCTCTTCTTCTGGGCGTCGGACTTTTTGCCGCCGCCGCACGCCACGTAGAGTCCAGCGACGGTGCGCATCGAGGGGTCGTCTTTGAACTGGTGGTGCCACGAGAGAAGGACGCGCATCAGGAGGCGGCGGACGGATGCATCGACCAGCTCGTCCTGCGACATGAGCTTGAGGCGCTCGATCAGCTGGTCGTTGGCGAAGGTGGCTGCGAGCGTAAGCAGGCGGAGGGCAGACGGCATCCGGATGTCAGCATGGAGAGGTAGAGGGCAGCGACTGGACAAGTGCGATGGCGTCGCTCGCTGCGGATACGCACTCTGGAAGCGCTTGTTGCAGTTTTCCACGCAGTACCGCAGGATCTGGAGGGATTGGAGGGGGGCACGAAGCGGCGGCAGGGACGAGGGCAGGCAGGGAGGCATCAGCTGAGCGTGCGGATGAGGAGATCGATGGCTGACGGCGCCGTCTGCGCTGCGGGCCTGGTGGATGCTCACGATGAGTGCGCGCTTCTGGCCGTGCACGTTGCTGTACTTCATCTTCTTGCGGAGTGCTCGGCTGGCCTCCGCCGGGCCGGTGGACTGGAGGTTGATGGCTTCTACCAGCTCGGGGATGCTTTTGGGTTGGCGGGAGGGGTGGGACGGGGGAAGAGGGCGGCGATCGGGTCAGGTGCGCTGGGCGAGTGGGTGCCGGCTGGCTGGGACTGGGATGGGCGTCTTTCTCACCCGTCGAGGTCCTCTTCCGCGTACTTCTGGGTGCAGAGGCGGTCGATCCAGTCGCTGACAGCGGAAAAGGGCTTTTTGCTGCCCGAGTAGAAGCCCTGGGCCTGTCCGGCCAGTTCCTGCGGGCGAGGATGAGAAGGAGGGGCGCGAACGACTGATGGTTCAGCAGGGCGGGGCGGTGGATGAGCGGTGGGAGGGATGGGCGTTGACGATGACTTACGCGCATCATATTGGGTGATGTTGGAAGTGCTGAGCAGCTCCAGCGATGGCGATGGTGATGGTGGTGGTGGTGGTGGCGGTGGTGGTGCTGGTGGTGGTGGTAGTGTGGGGAGATGGCCGTGCGGGCGAGGGAGCCGGCAGGAGGACGAGGTGGCCCCGCCCTCTCACCCCGCACGTTTGGTCGGTCTGGCTGTCTGCTTGGTGGCGATGCGCCAGGCCCCGTCAGGCCAGCCAGGGTCTGCTGCCGATGGGTGTGGGCCATGGAGCTGCTCCCGCCCTGCGCCTGCCGCCTTCGCAAAAGGTGCAGCCGGAGCTCCAAACGCACAGACCGGCGCGGCCAACGCTGGGCCGCTGGGCCGCTGTCTGCTGGACTGCTCTGCAGGGCTGCTGTCTGCTGGGCTGTTGTCTGATGGGCTGTTGTCTGATGGGCTGTTGTCTGATGAGCTGAGGTCTGATGGGCTGTAGTCTGATGAGCTGAGGTCTGCTGAGCTGTTGTTTGCTGGGATGGTGTTGGCTGGGATGCTGTCAGCTGGGCTGCTGGCTCTGACTTCCTGCACAGCTGATTGTGCAGGATGGCTTCAAGAAAAGATGCACAAGACCAACACCACCACCACCCCCATGTCCCTGCTTGAAGCAACAGACGCATCAGCTGAAGTCTCCCACCCCTGTCCTGCAGCAGGCTGACATCCCCCTTCCCTCAGCAACTTCACAACTGTTGGCTGATGACAGAGACTTTGACAGACTGTAGCCAGAGGCTCTGCATGCTCACCAACATGTTTGCATGACTGCCTGACTACCTGACTGCCTCACTGACTCACTGTTTCACTGACTCACTGAACCACAGCAGCCTGCTCTACCCACCTCTCTCTTGCTCGCACACTCACTCAGGTGCTCAAAGAACTTGCTCATCAGGTTCAACTCCTTCCTCTGCTGCCTTTGCTGCCACAGGCCCAGCCACCATAGTTTTGCATTTGGTCTCCTTCCCCTCACCCCCGCCCAGATCGACTTGCCCCGTACCATGACCCTCTCCTAAACCCCCCAAAAAAAGCGAAAAAGACAAAACCCCACGAAAAATTCTGTTTCTTGTACATTTGGTTTCCTGCGCGCCCCTCGCCTCCGGGCGAGAATAGATTCCCCCCCTCACCCTTTAACATTTTGTGTGTGATCTACAGTACAGGTGGCGGGTCAGGCTGGCGCCTGTGCGGCGGCAGCAGGAGAGGGCATAGCAGAGGCAGCGAGGGTCTCTGGGCTTGTACATACAATTTCCTGCACGACCCTCCTCCCTTCTCCTCCCCCAGCCAGTGACCCTCCCAGCTTCACCTTTGGCCCTCCTTGCCCTCTTGCTTCCAACACAAGGCTGCCAGAGGTTTTGACCAGGCTGATGAAGGAGCATCAGTGCATCAGTGCATCAGTGCATCAGTGCATCAGTGCATCAGTGCATCAGTACCTCAAGGCCTCAGTGCATTTGTGCATCAGTGCATCAGTGCATTTGTGCATCACTGCATCAGTGCCTCAGTGCATCACTGCATCAGTGCATCAGTGCATCTTTGCATCAGTGCATCAGTGCATCAGTGCATCAGTGCATCAGTGCATCAGTGCATCAGTGCATCAGTGCATCACTGCATCAGTGCATCACTGCATCAGTGCATTGTTTGCATCCTTTGTCCGTTTCAAAGTGTCATGGAGGACCTTACCGGCACCTCCACCCCCCCAAGGCGTTGGGCGATCTGCTGCAACTTTCAACACGGTTGTTGTGGCAACCCCAAAGTTTGTGGGTGCCTCCACATTTGCGCAAAGTGCCACAGGGGGCACCCGAGCCCCAAATGCCAACAGGTGAGTTTGGCCTTGCTTCTTTGCTCGTGACGCGAGAGTAGCTGCAGCGGCTAACCTTTTTTTTGCGTGTGGTCTGATGGGAGTAGTGACAGATGTGGTATGGTAGCCTCAGCCCACCTCTCTCTCTCTCTCACTCACACACACTATCTCTCTCTCTCTCTCTCTCTCTCTTGCTCACAGACTCTCTTGTCATCATCTCCATGGCCCCCTCATCCTTCAACCCATCCTCTGCTATGCAGGATTCAAGAATTGCAAGTTGGCACAGCTGTGCAGTCTGTTGTGTGATTGATGCTGTGAAGCAAGCCTGAGGCCTGATGTGAGGTGTCAGGTTCCCTGGCCACACATTGCAGCAGGCCTGCCACGTTGGGCCGACAAAGGCCGACAGCGCAACCCTCTCTAACAACAGCTCAGCGGCCAGGGCTGGCTAGCTGGCTGGCTGGCTGACCGCGCAACCAACCAACCAACACCTCGCCACACACCATCCTCCTCTCGACTATCGTCGTCCTCCAAGCCCCCATTGCCCTACCCTTCACCCTCATACGTCCTCGATCCTCAGCCTTTGGGCCGCTCCTCGGGACACCAGCGGCCATGCTGCAGCCTTCGCCCTGAGCCACATCTGGCGCTACACCCCTTTGCCTCGCCCAGTTCAGTCTGGTCCAGTCCAGTCCACTGCAGCCCAGCCCGGCCCAAGTCTCTGCTGGCTAGCGCACTCGCTTGCCCCATCCCTCTCGCCCTCTTGCGGCCCTGACAACCCCCGAAAGCCCCTATAAGTCTTCGGCGTCCAATCCCGCCCCTCCTTGCCGCCATGCCGCCCGCCCATCGGGGCCCGACCGGCGCCCCCATCGACCGCTGGACCACCGCTTCCGCCACCGCCATCGCAAGCGGCTTCAACGCCGCAATGGCTCTCGGACCGCAGCCCAAGATCGCCACCTCCAACTCCAACGCAGCAGGTCCCTACGCCACCGCCTCGTTCGCCGACACCATCAGCGATGAAGACGACGACGACGACGAAGACAACCCCGGCGACGACCAGGGCGTATCGCCACCGAACGGCGCCACCTCGACCGCAAAGCAAAAGGCAAAGGGCAAGGCCGCCGCCACCGCTACCACCTCACGCACAAAGGACGCAGCCGCCCTCGCCCACCGCAAGGAGCAGAACCGCGCAGCACAGCGCGAGTTCCGACAGCGCAAGCAACAGTACATCCGCGCCCTCGAGGCACGCGTAGAGCTCCTCTCGTCCGACCACGATACCCAGGTCGACCGCCTCCGCTTCGCCCTCCGCCAGCTCCTCGCAGAGAACAACACCCTCCGCACCATCGTCGCGTCCCTCGCCTCGTTCATCGGCTCCGGCGACATCGGCGGCTGCATGGCCCAGGCCGGCCTCACCCGCGCCGAGCTCGAAGACGCCATGAACAATCGCAGCGAAAAGACAATGACCGAGGCATGGCAAAACTGGCCGGGCGCAAAGGAGTGCGAGGCCCTCAGGCAGATCCGCCTCGAAAGCAACATCCCCCTCGACGGTCTGCCGGAGAGCAAGCTGCCGTACGGCTGCTCCACCTCGAGCCGCCAGGGCCAGGCATCGCAGGCCACACAGCCACCGAACCCTCGAGCGGACCAAGAGGACATCCAGACGCAAGCAGAACCTGCTGCGACAACGTCAGCGAAGGCGAAGACCCCTGCCGATGCCAGCAAGAAGCGCAAGCGCAGCGCCTCCGGACAACAGAGACCCGCTCTGGTCACCCATCGCAAGAGCGTTGCGCAAGCCACCGACACCAGCGCGCCCTTGGACGGTCACGGCACAGCTGCAGCATCGCAGCCGCAGCTTGACCCAGGCACGGACGAATGGCAGCGTTCCTCGCAGCGTTCGCAGACGACCGCCGCATCGCTTAGCGGGCTCGGCGCTTCCGTAGCAGCGCCACCAGGTTCCGCCTTGGACCCTTCCGCCGCCGCCGCCGCCGCCGCCGCCGCCATTACCGCTGCGCTACCACCCGCACAGGTACAGGCCCAGGCCCAGGCACTGGCGCCTGCGTCCATCGCCTCGACCTTGACAATCGTACCGGCCTCGACGGCACCGGCTGATGGACCCTTTGCGTCGCCGGAGCTCTGGCAGCAGCAGCAACAGCTGTCCCACCTCTACATGCTCCAGCAGCAGAGTCCCAGTAACAGCCTTGACGCCACCTTCTTGCAGACGCTCTTCGGCGATCTGGGCGGGCAAACCGGCACCGGAAGCGGAACCGCCGATCACATCGCCGCCACGCCGGGTGCCGCGAGCTTGGACCCTGCCAGCCCCTTTAGCCTGCTCGCCTCGATGCAGATGATGGCGGGCGGGGTCGGCAGCAGCAGCAGCAGCAGCAACGGAGGGACCTCTGACGACTATGGCGCCGCCCTCATGAGCTTCAGCCCGGCCGCCATTACACCGACCCGTGCGGCAGCCAGCGGCAGCGCCGGAGGAGAGCCGCTGCCTGCTGCTGGCGCCACACTTCTGCCGCTGACGAGGTCCAGCTCCATCTCGGCCGGCACGGCTGGGCCCGCACCTGCCCAACAGGCAAGGAGAAGCAGCGGCGGGACGCCGACCAGCTTTCACCAGCAGCTGCATCGCACCTCGACCTCATCCGGCCCCAACCCGATGCGGAAGCGGTACACGCGCGTGGTTGCGGCCGTCAACCGGATGCTGCGCAAGCGGGGCTTCCACGAGTTTGTCGACCTGCCGCCGGACTGCGAGCTGACGCACGAAGACCTGCGCCACGTCGAGGAGCAGGAGCGCAGCAGGCCCTACCTCATCTTGGCGCACCACGGCTTCGAGGGCGACCTGCAGGATGAGCTCGAGACGCGCGGGCCCGACGGCCGGGCGCAGCACAAGCTCCTCAACCGGCGTCACATTGAGCGCATCGAGGACTCGTTCATCCAGCTCCACTACCACTTCCAGAACTTCCGGATGAACCCCAAGTACCGCCTGCCGCCGCTGCTGCGCCCGACGCCCATCCAGCAGGCGCAGCCGCACGCGCCGGACATCGACAGCGTGCCGTGGTCGTCGATCCGCGACGCGCTCATCCTGTACCCGCAGCTCGACTTTGACGAGGTCATCTTCGAGATGATCCGCGGCGCCGAGATCCACGATGGCGACATCCTGATGGAGGAGCAGTGGGAGATCCACCGGCCCTTCCTCGTGCGCTTCCCCATCATGGCCGAGGACAAGGTGCTCGACGTGTCGAATGCGTGGCGCAAGAGGCGCGGGCAGGAACCGCTTACCCGCGAGCAGCTGTGGCGCGACCATGCCATGCTGCGCGAGGCGGAGCGCAGGAAGTGGAAGGAACTCGGCGAACCGTTCCCACTGCCCGACCGCGACTTTGTGCCGCGCCCGCGGCCCGATCCCACCTCGACCGGCGGACCCTCTGCCATCGCGACCACTTCTAGCGAGTCGTAGGACGCTTGACGACGCCAGGGGCCCGTGCCGGATCGCGACCCGCACGCACCGATTTCACACATCGCAAGGCCGATCCCTTTTTCTTTATCGCGGTGTATTTGTACCGTCCATCTCTCGCCAGCGTCTCTCTCGACGCACGCACCAATCGTCCGCGACACTCGATGCGACTCTTCTTACTTGCTCGCGACTGGGGTATTCTTCCGACACTATGACGGGCCGCCTACCAACCGACCGACCGACCTACGACTGCGACCACGTCTACGTCTACGTCCATGACTTGTGCTTGTGCTACTGCGACGACGACGACCTGGGCTCCGCGGCAATAGCCTGCTTGAGACCCCTGACGCCGTCGACGTCCTCGATTCTAAACCCGCCCAGCCCCTCATCCTGACCTCTAGCCTGTCCCGCCCTACTGAGCAGTGGTCCGACATTGAGCATGACCCCTGCACCCTTGGCGGTGCTCTCCTCCTCGTCGACGAGGTCCTGTTCGCGCTGAGCCATCTGCCAAAACGCCTGGATCTCACTCCTCGTATCCCTTGGCCCCTCGAACTCACCCTCACCGACGGTGGTGCGGAGAGGAACGAGGTAGAGGAGGTACAGCGCATCGTACCCGCCCGCGCCAGGGACGCCGCCGCCCACGATGCCCCGTACGTTCTCGGCGACGCGGTGGATGAGCCGGCCCATCTCGACCGGCTCGACGGGCGCACCCGAGCGCGTGCCCAGCTCGCGCATGCCCGCTCGGATGGCGCGGAGCGTATTGCGCACCTCGATCAGTACGCTCAGCACCGCATGCGGCGTCACCTCGACCTCCTCCTCCCCTCCATCCTCCTCTTGGTGCTGCCCACCATCAGGGCCGGGCGTGGCGCGGAGCAGCGCATCCCACTCGGCCGCGAGCGTCCCGCTGCACTGGGCCAGCACGCCATCGTACACCTCGGGATCGGCATCGTGCATCAGCCGCAGGTTGAGGAAGTGGTCGGCCAGCGACGCATTGCTCGACGCCAGCACCGCGTAGAGCTGCCCCGCCCACGCGGGCTTGGCCGCGCGCCACGCCAGCACCTTGCTCACCAGGCTCGGCGTATTCGAGCCCGCATCGACGTCGGCCAGCACCATGTCGAAGCCCGGCGGCAGCGAGAGCGGCGCCGGACTCGGCAGCGTGGCACCGCCGTGGGACTGCGAGGTTGCGGACGACGAGGAGACCAGGCCTTCGACGGCAGTTGGGAACGACGACGACTGGCCCGCGGCAGAGGACGACGAGAGAGGTGACGGGCGCCAGAGCGGGTTGAGCGGGTCCAAGGTGGGACGCAGCGTCGAGCTGCCTCCAGCGTGACTGCCGGCCTGCTCGCCGTCGCTAGCGGCTTCGCCTTCGACGCCGACGCGCACGCCCTCGTCGAGACAGGGCTTGAGCACCGCTGGGTCGAAGCGGCGGTAGAGCTGGCTGCCCCACACGGCGGCGCTGACGTCGAAGCCGGACCCGACCTTGCCCTGGGCGGCGCAGTGGGCCAGCTGGGCCAGGTTGTGGATGAGCGCCAGGCTGTGCGTCGAAGGCTGTCCTTTGCCGGCGGCGTCGTCGCTGTCGCTGTCCAGCTCCACGGCGCCAAGGTGAGTGAGGAGGCAGCCGACGAGCGACGTCGTCATTGCCGCGCTCGAGCCGAGGCCCGTCTTGTGCACGTCGGCGATGCGGCACGACTGCTGCGCGAACGGTGGCAGCGCTTCGAGGGCGGCGATGGTGGGCGTCTCGGAGGGCGAGAGCGAGAGCGTGTCGCGCTGGCTGTAGAAGTCGTTGTCGCCCACGACGACCAGCTCGATGCCGCCGCCGGGCGAAGAGGCGGCGAGTGCTTCGACCAGCGCATCGCGGCCCAGGATCTCGGAGGCCAGCCGGAGCGTGTAGAGGAGCGCGAGCGAGACGAACGGATTGCGGCCGGCGCGGTCGAACGAGGCTCTGCGGCGGCGAGGCGCAAAGAGGATGTGGATGGGGTGAGTGGTTGCTCTCCAGCGCTCCGATGTCGTGGCGAGCGGTGGTAGTAGCACCTGCTAGCGGCTGTGAAACAGCGAAGCGCACTCACCTCGTCTGCTCGAGCTTCCAGTGCGCATCTCGGTCGACGCTGGCGGTGTATGACCAGACGGCATCAACGAACTGGGGCGACCTGACCGTCAACCGGTACCCTCCCCGCTGCTGGCCCGGATCTCTCGCTGCTCCCGCTGATGGTGCTTCTCCTGCTGATGCGGCATCGTGCGACGACGAGGAAGCGGCGTGGGTGTAGAAGCGCGAATCGGTCGAGATGACGAGACCGGGATAGGCGGCGTCCAGGACGAGGTAGCCGCCCGCTATGAGGACTTTGCCGGGCGCCGAGGCCAACGTAGTCCTTCGAACCCCTTGCTGCTGCGGCGACATTGCGGTTGGGTGGCGCCGAAAAGAGAAATGGGAGAGAAGAGGGCGGTGATGATGGTGGGCTCCGCCTTGGAGGATGGCATTGGGGGTCCAAGACGACGTTGTTGGTCGGCCGCTTGGCTCCTGAGGGAGCGCACAAACCAACCAACCTCGCCCTGCGCTCGGTTCTTCGCGCCAAAAGGCTCGGGACTCGGCGAGGCGAGGAGAGCTGGTACTCCAATCGTACGATACCGACGCCCCTTCTCGACCCCTCACCACCTCTCTCTCTCTCTCTGCGCTGCCTGCCTGCGCCCGGTTTCGACCGCCCACTGCCTTCGCTCTCGGTATGCCGTTCGAGACGCACCGTCGACATACCATGCCTGCCTCGTCTACCACCACACGGGGTACAGCCTTCTCCCCACTGACCGGGCGATATCAGCTTGCGAACGGAGAAAGACGCGCGATGTCATGCTCCCCTGCGCTCTCGATGCCTGGCCGCGCTACGTCGGTGAGTCTGCGAATGGCGAGGGACGTGGATTCGAGCGCCGGATCGGGTTCGTATCAGGATTGGCGGCGAGCTCGACTTGACTGCCGGGTCGAGCCAGTCAGGACCACGGGTTGCTATCGTATCGCAGGCTCTCGTCTCGACCCGTCTCGTCACTACCCCACATCGCGAAGGAAGGTCAGGTCAGCCCGAGCCAGAATCGACGCCGAGACACCGACGGAGCGGCGGAGCGCCACACCCTCATCGACCACGAGCGATACGAGGTCCTGCATCCGCCGTCTGCCAGGCCATCACATGGTCCCACCCCGCCGCCTTCCCTCCGATCGGTGAGATGCGTTCGGCTCTGCTCTGCTCTGCGCCAATCATCTGCTCATCATGCCTCTGCGCCGCTAGCTGCTAGTAAGTACAGCGCGATGTCTGGCAGGCAGGCCCGGTGACGGGGCGCGTAAACATCGCGTGCTGGATGACGTACCCCCAAGGAGGCGCCGGGCGTGTTGATCCGCGCAGGGACAGGGTGCACTTCGAGAGCCAAGCTGGACCCGCGGTTGCAGAGTATGGTCGAGGCTAGCTGACGCGACCAGGGCTCAGCCCCCCAACTCCTCTCTTTCCCCCTTCTCTGTGTCTTTCTATCCGGCTCAGGATGCCGCTAGACGGACAAGGCCCATCTATCGCGCGCCTCGAACGCCTCTCAGACGATGTCGCTCGGCCGCCCGTCCACGGATCGACGTGACTTTGTCGAGGAGGAGGACCAGCGAGGCGCACAGGGGCAAAGGTGAGTTTTATTCCCTTCGATCGCAGCGACCTTCGACGTCGTCTGGCTTCAATTGCCCCGATCTCGTGGGCCGCTTCCCAGAGACTCGGTTCGCATGCGCCCCCGCCCCCCTTCTTTCGCCCAAACGAGATCTGCAGAGGGTCGACTGCGGGGTCAGGGCGGACGAGCGAGGTTGGCCGCGCCGCGCCGCGCCGCTTCGCCGTGATGGGCTGGAGCGCTTGGCGGTAAAGTAGCGTACCGTACCGCACCGCTTCGTGCCATATCGGGCTGGATGCCGAAGCTGACGCTTCTTCTTTGCGACCCGCGGTTCCATGGCATCACTGAGGCAGATTCGGCACCAAAAGGTGCTGCTACCTACCGCACCGCGCCGCACCGCGTGTACGCGACGCAGCGCCACAGTAAACAGAGGGCGACGTGCCAACGTGACGTCTCCTGGATGCCCAGGCCGGGTAGATGGGGTTCCGCCCGCGTGGGGTTGGACGTGACCTTTGATGACATACGCGCAAGCAAGGTACAATGGGGGGCGCACGCTCCCCGTCCCGGCCTCGCGGAGCTGGTGCGTTCATACGCAAATCAGAGCACTTGACTCTGACCTCTCCGACGTCTGCACGTCCCCTCGACACTCGTCGACCATGCTTCGCACAGTCGTGCGCATCGAGTTTCGAGGACGGAGGGCCGGACGGAGCGTTGATCCTCGCACACGATCAGCTGCGACGACGCCAACGATTGACGGACCGCCGGTCCATCATGCAGGCGGGGACGGAGTGGCAAGCAAGACGAGATGAGCAAGCTGCTGGTGGCGGCGCGAGGACGCACGAAATCGTCGACCAGCATACCTGCCTGCTTGATTGCCCGCATGGATGCCAGCCACGGTAGCGCCTCTGGAGCGTGGCAATCGTCGGGTTTGGATCGCCGCTCGTGGTGCGGTGCCTCTCCTTGGTTTGCGGCGGACGACGGAACGACGGCGGAGTGCAATGGCGCTGAGATCAATTGTGGAACCGCGGACATCGTGGCCCCGCCTGGCCCTCTCCCTCCCAGGCCTCTTTGTTTTCCATCTGGCACCCCGCACAGCGAGAGTCGGTGAGTAACTTACCGATTGCTTGCTGCAAGGCCGTCCAGAGCCATGGCCACTCCGGGGCGCAAATGACGATCCCGGCTCGTGACGAGGACGGCCAGGCCAGGCATCGAGCGTCAGCCAGCAACTCGTGGCGTCTCGATGCGCCGTCGCTCAACCTCCGACACGCTCCGCCGGTCTTCCAGGTGAGCCGCACTCGCTGAGCTCCGTCCGACAACAATAGGAACCACCGACAGGCAGGCAGATGATCGGGTCGGGTTGGCCGGGCTTCGTCGAGAGCCTGCACGGCCGGCTGTGCTCGAGTTGCCTCGTCGAGGGCGATGGCGGGCTGCGAAACGGGCGTGTCCGATCGAGATCGCGCGCAGGTAGCGAGGTTGCTTATTGCCTCCCTGGGCATCGCCGCTTTCTCTCTCGCGGGCACAGGAGACGGCCACGACGACCAAGGCGAAGCGGATGACGGTGGATGATGCCAAATTGCCAATCGACACCGTATACCGCGAGGACCAGCTCGGCATGAGACCGGCTCCACAGGGTCTTCGGCGGACGGCCAGGCTATGGCAGGCGGGCGGGCTGAATCGGAGCGAGCCGAGCGATGGGACGTCGTTTGCTTGCGCTCGAGGTCTGACGACCTTGGCCCGGCCTTTCTACCATAGCTTGCCACGCCAGGAGGAGAGGCCAGGCCAGGCAGGGAAGGGCGAGGATCAAGACGCCAAGAGGAAGCGAGAGCGGGGAAGCGGGGCCAGCCGGAAATCGGAATCGAGCCGGGTGGGTGGGTCGAGAAAGAGCCAGCATGGCTAGTAGGCTAGGGCGCCGAGGCAGGCTAGGGAAGTTAGGTAGCGCTGTGTGCGGGAGCCGCCGCCGCGCTGCCGCTCCGCCTGCTCTGCCACCGCCGGCCGCTGCACATTCGACCTCTCTCTGGCGCGCTGCCTAGGCGGGCCTGCCGATCCTGGTTGCGAAGCCAGGGCAGACCGGGCAGCTGATGGGCAGCGGGCGATACGCGCAGGCAGGTAAGCGAGCCAGGCCAGACCAGCCCAGGCGGCTTCATGCGGACCTCGCCCGCTCCCCGAGCGAGCCAGCTGCTGCTGCTGCTGCTGCTTGCTTGCTTGCTTGCTGGTAAACGCGCGCATCAAACGACGGCGACAGATCAGACGACGTACATACGGGACGATGCCGGTCGGTACGGTACGGTACGGTACAAACGGTACGGGAAGCAAGCCAGCTGCTGGGATGGCGATGGCGAAGTGCCGGGCCTACCTGTAGCCACCATGCGAAGCTCTCCGGCTCCTTCCGCCCGGTGGGGCAGGCCAAAGAAGGGGCTTCGGCACACCCGACCAGCCCTCGACGATGCCCTGCCTGCGCCTGTCGGCCTGGTCGCGTGCGCTGTGGTTCGGTCTGCGTCCCCACTCGCCGCCGCAAAGAGCGCAGCGAAACAAGGCAGAGCCGCGCAGCAGCAGCGCACCAGCGGAGACTGAGATGGCTGGGCGGTGTCAAGGCTTGCTCGCTGCGCTCGTTGGCCAGACCACGTCAACCCAGCCAAGCAGCGCTCGTCCGCCTGCCTTGCATGAGACACAGGCAGGCCGACCGGGGGCAGAGAGGGGGCGCCCCCCTCCCCGGCTTTCAAAACCGGAAAAAGAGAAAAAAGCAGCGGGCAGGCGGGCAGGCAGGCAGGCCCAAGCAAGCAAGCGGGGGGCAGCCGGGCAGCCTCTGGCAGACTCCAGCCTGCCTGCGCTCTCTCTCTCTCTTCTGGCCGCCTGCTTTGCCTACCCGATGGAACCGGCTGCTGCGTGCTGCTGCCGCCATCATCACCCGCCGACCGACCCCCTCCCTTGGCACCCCGCCCCGGTCGTCGTCGCTGCTTCTCCTCATCGGTCCACCACCCCTCCCTCATCGCCACCGCCACCGCCACGGCCATCGTAAACGCAGCAAACGACACCATAGCATACCCTCTTGTCTGCGCCCGCGACCACGACGACGACGACGACTTGCTGCCTGGCCTCGCTCTGTCTATCCGCCCGACCCTACTCTGCTTCCCCGCGGCCAGCATCACCCGTCACGGCTCTCTGCAACGCACTTCGCATTTCCATTGTCGTCCTCGCCATCCTCTCTCGCCAACACACCATCGTCTCCTCGCAAGCATCGTCGTGTCTGCTTCCATCATCCCTCGCGGACCCGTCATATCATCGCGGCCAGCCTGCGTCTCCGGCACTGCACCGACAGCGCACAGACATCCGCGCACCCTACAGGCACCATCTCGCCTCGCTTGCCTCGCTTGCCTCGTCTGCCCAACGCTTGGCCCGCGCAGCACCACGCACGCACAGAGAACCGCTCCTGCAGAGCTAGCCTGCGCGCACGCACGCAACCTGCCACACCCGGATCCCTTGGTCCCCGTGGACATCGTCAAGGCCGCTCCGACGATGCGCAGCGCCTGAACCTCGACCGCACCAGCTACAACCCAAGTCCAGCTGCTTCCTCTGCTCTAACGCTCTGACCCACGCACAATCAACCGTGGTCGTCGCCGGCCACCGTCGTGATTGGCCCGAGCAAACGAGCAGACGCTCAGTGGCCCGAGCCGCCTTCGTCTCACCACCCTCGGCCCCGCCTGCCTATTAGCCAGTTGCTCGGCATCCCAACAAGCCTCTGCCTGCCACTTCGCTCGTCGACACGCTATCACGACCTCCCTCACCAAGATCGCCGCTAGCCTCTCACCATGCGATCCGAGGCCGGACCCAGCTCGTCCGCTGCCGCGGCCGGCCCCGTGCCCGGCCCGAGCAACCACGGCTCGATGCTCTTCTCGCCATCCTCGTCGGACCCGGCAGACCTCCCGCCCATGCCGGTGCCGTATGAAGGTGAGCGCCCGTCCATGACCCGGTCTGTCGATGCTGCCTTGACCGCAGGGACAGCTATGCTGACAGCCAGCCTCTCCGACCGCCTCCGCCGCATCACCGCGCGCTGCTGCCGATAGACTTCCACTTCTCGCTGGATCTGCCCACGGACCTCGACATGAGCGACCTCCAGTTCCTCAGCGGCGCCACCGATCGCAAGGGCGGGCCCTCGAACCCGATGACGCCCGGGCTGACGGCAGCCTTCCTCGCATCCACGCCCCATGGCTTCCACGGCCTCGAGGACATCCACATGTCGAGCAGGGCCGGCAGTCGGCGCGGTAGCTTCTCCAACAAGAGCCGGCCACAATCGCCACGAGTTGGGGCTCTCGGCCTAGGGAACATGACCAAGCTGCCAGACTTTACGATGCGGCCACCGCCACCACCCGACTTTGAGCCGCCGCCTGGGTCAAACCTCTTCTCGCCCGCCGCCTCGCCCTTTGGCCTGTTTGCAGGCGCGTCTTCTCCTACCAAGGGCAAGCACGACTCTAGCGAGACGCAGCCACCGCAACCACCACCATCACAGCCCAACGGCGCCCTCTTTGACGCCAACGAGAGAAACATGCTCTCCAGCTTCCTCGAAGGCTTCGAGTGGGAGTTTGATCCGACCCTGCCAGAGGGCATGCCCAGCTTTGCCGCGGCAGCGGCGGAGCGGGCCGGATCGGCGGCGGACGCTTTCGGCCTCAGCCTCGACGGACGCGGATCGGTGTTTGGCGGGCGGCAGCGGGGCGACAACCACCTCCCCGCCGGCTCTGTCTCTGGGTCGGCGTCTGGGTCCGGCTCGGCGACGGCATCGAGCCAAAGCCCGCACGACAGCAGCTCCACGGCCACCTCGCCGCCCACGTCGAAGCGGGGCAACAAGCGCAACAAGCACAACCGCGACGCTGACGCAACGGCCAAGCCCATGTCGCAGGAGACGGACCTGGTCAACGCCGCCTTCGGAGGCCTGCCAGACTGGACCGACGACCACGGCGGCGAGTCGGCAGAGGCTGCGCAGATTGGCAGCAAGCGCGGCCCTCCAGGGCATCATCACGCGCGCGATCGAGACGGCAGGCCCAACCCAGCCCCAGCTCATGGCCTCGGCGACCAGGATCAGCACGCGCCTCGCCAGCCGACGCCAAACGGCCTGGACCTCAACAACCTCACCGGCGTCCACGCCGAGATGTTCAGCATGAGCGCCGGCCTCGACACCGCGTCCGTCGCCGCACAGCCCAAGTCGGGTGGCAAGGCGCCAAAGCAGGCGAAGGCGTCGTCGTCGTCGTCGTCGGCGGCGGCGGCGGCGGCGGCGAGCTCGGCATCCGGCTCGAGCGGCAAGAAGATGAAGATCGAGCACGACGATGCGGCGGCGGGCGAGGCCCTGGCCAACGACGGCGGCAGCGGCAGCGCCGGCGTCTCGGCCTCGGCCTCGGGCAGCAAGCGCGAGCTCCTGACGGAATCGGAAAAGCGGCAGAACCACATCCTGTCGGAGCAGCGGCGGCGCAACTACATCCGCGAGGGCTTCAAGGAGCTCGTAGTGCTCCTCGACGACGGCCGCAGCCTCGGCGCGCGCGCGCTCGGCCTGTCGTCGGGCTTTGGCACGGGCGTCGAGGACGAGGGCTTGGATGACCGCACCGACGTCGAGGGCGGCGAAGACGACATCCTGGCCGTCGGTCGCAAGAAGCCGCCAAAGAAGGCCAAGAAGGCCGGGCCCAACGGCGCCCGCGCCAGGGGCAAGGGGCGAGGCCGAGGCGGCAGCGCCGGGGCGGCGCGGCAGCAAGAGCGCCGTCCTGTTCCAGGCCGTCGACCTGATCCGGTGGCTCGACGGGAAGAACGACGAGCTTGCGGGCCAATGCCAGGAGCTCGAGGGGCTCGCGGGCATTCCGAGCCCGGAGACGCTCGCTGCCTCTACTGTGCCCTCCTCTGCCGCCGCCGCACAGGCGCCGGCCTGACCCATGTTCCCGTCCTGTATTGTATAATGTAATCACCATCCTACATTCTGGCTCACGCACAAGGCAATGTCGTTCGGAGACGGTGTCGTTAGCAGGGCAATGTCGTTCAGAGATCGTTCAGAGATGGCTCGATGTTCGAGGTGGCTAGTTGTTGGGCGTGCCTCGCTGGAACCAGGGGATGCCAGGTGAAGGCCAGCAGCTTCTATCTTCTCAATGAATGTACTCGAGGGAATGATCAAAGCAGTCAGGTCCGTCTAGCGGGTCTGAGAAGCCCAAGACCGAAGTCCCAAAGCCCTCCCGACGCCAACAGAGCCCGCAGGCCCGGAACCCCGGCCTCGATCCTGCCGCGGTCTGGCAACCGAGATTTTCGCCTCGTTTTTCGACCAGCTGCAGGGCTAGACTTTGTGTCCTTCAACTGGGCCAGAATCGAGGCCGCAATTGTGGCCTCAATTCCCAAGCCGTTTTGAGACCGCACTTGCGGCCTCGATCCTGGGGCCTTTTTGAGGCCGCAAACGTGGCCTCGATCCTGGGGCCTTTTTGAGGCCGCAAACGTGGCCTCGAACACCGCCAGAATCGAGGCCACAAGACTAGCCTCGAAACCAGCCAGACCCGACGCCGCACTTCGGCCTTCAGTCTCTCTCTTCCTATCTCACGACCGTTACACGGTCCTCACTTTTCAGATCTGGCACATCGTCGTACAAAGCAGGAACGCTGTGAAGGTCATTGTGTTTCATGTTGTCGTTCTGCAGCTCTGGTCGGATCTATGTACATACGATCCTCTTAGCGGGTGCACACTTGGTGGATGGGGCGCCGACGCGCCTGCTGATCTTGAATCGACGAGGGCGCCGCGACGGGCAGACCGACGCGCCCGGAAAAAGTTTTCGGAGCGTGAGGCGCGTGCTATAGGACGGCGTTTAGAAGGCTCGACCCAACGCGTCTGCTTCGGCGGGCGTTCAGGAGGCTCGACCCACCCAACGCGGCGTGCTACGCGTCACGCGCTGGAGCAGCGTGCCTGGACGCCGCTGGCAGAGCCGCCCTCTGGCTCTGCTATCACACGTGGGGGCGCGGAGACTCTTTGCCGCCAGCCGCCTCCTCCTCACACTGGTATCGGTGTTCGATGATGGCTTACATTGGCAGACGATGGATTACATTGGCACTGGTGCGGGCGTGTGCAAGACGGCGATCGGATCGGGAACACCAGCACGCCTCGAAGCTTTTCCCTTCGAGGGGCGGCGGCGGGAAAGGGATGAGGGGGAGGGCTTACTTTGTTAGGGGGATGCGGCCCGCCTCGAAGCTATTTTGTTCGAGACGAGCCTGGTTAGCATTTTTGTTAGGGATGCAAGTCCCAGTACTTATACGGTAGTACCAGCCTGGCTCTTTGTAAGGTGTGCCGTACCTGTGACTGATGGGGAGAGGAAGGAAGGAAGGGAAGGGGAGGGAAGGAT